AAATTAAAGTACGTAATCATGCTTGTTTTGTATGTTTTATTTTTTAGAGAAATTTTTTCGTGCACAAAATTAAAAAATAATATGTAATCATGCGTTGGAAATATCATGGAAGATTTTTGGTAAAAAAATTTCCCATGGCTTCCATCCCTTCGCCAGAGAAGTAGTATTTTCATTATTTAAAGAAAAAGTACTTTTATGTAAAATAATTTTTAAAATATTTAAGGCAATCAACTATGAAAAAATTGAAAATATTTTTTAGAAAATAATCTCATCCTTACCAAACCTAACTTTTTTTTCGGGATGAATAAGAAAGAAAATAAAAGAGGAGAAATTATAAACTAATATCTAAATACCCTTTGGATATAATATTTTTTCGAAACTCATTTTCAAAATATTATTTGATTATGCATTGGATTGAATTTTCGAAGATGAGTTTTAAGTTTGAAAAAGTATTTTTTTATTACTTTTTTAAATAAATAAAGTTGCAGTATTTTCTCAAATGAAATGCATGACAATTTTAATTTTCAAATACTTTTTTCAATTTAACTTTAACAATTAGGTTTTTCTTTAAATTTTACATGTCCAAACGCCTAGTAAGTGACTAAAGGCCTCATTTGTTTGCACTTAATGGAAGTATGAATCTTAATCATTCAGATCTCACACATTAAGTGCGTTCGTTTTTAAAGTCTGAATCTTAATTATTCAGATCTTAATCATTAAGTGTGTTTGTTTTTTTACTTCACGACCACTTAACGGGTCTGAATAGGTCTGTATGATTAAGATCTATACAGAGACTTAATTTCATTAAGATGCTATCACATAGTATTCATTATTAACTATCGTCACCGCCTACCATTATCAACTACCACCATGCCGCCACCACCACCATACTCAACAACACCAGCACCACCAGCAAGCCACCATCATCCTCAATCATAGCCATCACCATTATTGACCATCACCACTCACCATCCTCACTACTCCGACCACCATCATTCTCACCCACAATCAACACTTATCCACCTCAACTACCATAACTAACCACCCCATCACCATCAACAGCCACAGTCGGCATCGCCCATCATGATAACCTACAACCACCTTCCTCAATCACAAACCACCACCGCCATTATTAACTATCACCACCCACCACCACTATCCTCAATCATAATCTCCACCACTACCAATCACCACTAGCTACTAGCATAAACCACCATCACCAACCAAAACTACCACCAACCACCTCCTCTAGTCGACGTTTACCCGTTAGCCATCACCACCAACATCTGTCATATCTTAAAAAACTATATATTTTATTGATAGAATATTAAATTAGTTAGTATTTCATTTGAATTTTATGTTTACTATTTTTCAACAACAATAACTATCCAGTAAAATCCCACAAAGTGGGGTCTGGGAAGAGTAATGTGTACGCAGACCTTACCCATACCCCGATAGGGCAGAGAGGCTGTTTCCGATAGATCTCGGCTCAGAAAGACGGACCCTTATCTCCAAACCTCCAATCTCTCGTTAACACCGACCCTCATCTCATCAATTAGAACTATGTCATCAGCAAATAACATACACTATGGCACATCCCCTTGAATATGGTGTGTCAATGCATCCATCACCAAGGCAAATAAGAACGGGCTAAGCGCAGAGCCCTTGGTGTAATCCCATAACAACCGGGAAATGCTCCGATTCGCCTCCCACAGTCCTAACCTTAGTCTTAGCTCCATCATACATGTCCTTGATCGCTCTTATGTAGGCTACCGTCACGCCCTTTTCCTCAAGACATCTCCAAAGCACCTCCTTAGGAACCTTGTTATACGCTTTCTCCAAGTCAACAAATACCATGTGCAGATTCTTCTTCTTATCCCTGTACTGTTCCACCAACCTCCTAATAAGGTGGATAGCTTTCGTAGTGGAGCGGCCCGGCATGAACCTAAACTGATTGTCGGATATAGACGTCGTCTTCCTCACCCTCACCTCCACCACCCTCTCCCAAACTTTCATGGTATGGCTAAGTAACTTGATACCCCTATAACTGTTATAACACTGGATATCACCTTTGTTCTTGTACAACGGTACCACTGTACTCAACCTCCATTCCTCCGGCATCCTCTTCTTATCCCTGTACTGTTCCACCAACCTCCTAATAAGGTGGATAGCTTTCGTAGTGGAGCGGCCCGGCATGAACCTAAACTGATTGTCGGATATAGACGTCGTCTTCCTCACCCTCACCTCCACCACCCTCTCCCAAACTTTCATGGTATGGCTAAGTAACTTGATACCCCTATAACTGTTATAACACTGGATATCACCTTTGTTCTTGTACAACGGTACCACTGTACTCAACCTCCATTCCTCCGGCATCCTCTTCGTCCTAAAAATTACATTGAACAACCCAGTCAACCACTCCAATCCTGCTCTGCCCACACACTTCCAAAACTCAACCGGAATTTCATCTGGCCCGGTCGCTCTACCCCTACTCATCTTACGCAAAGCCCCCACGACCTCCTCCACCTTAATGCGCCTGCAATACCTAAAGTTTCGGAGACTCTCCGAATGCCCCAAGTCCCCTAGCGCTATATCCCGGCCCCCCTCCTCATTTAGATGACCATAGAAGTACGTCTGCCATCTCTGCTTAATCTGGGACTCTCCCATCAATACTCTACCATCCTCGTCTTTGATGCACCTTACTTGGTCCAGATCTCGGGCCTTCCTTTCCCTCACTTTAGCCAGCCGAAACAACTTCCTGTCCCCGCCTTTCTCCCCCAGTTCCTTGTATAGACGACTAAACGCTGCATTCTTAGCCTCCGTAACCGCCAGCTTTGCCTCCTTCCTAGCCACTTTGTACCTCTCTCTATTCGCTCTTCGCTCCTCCTCGTTTGTGCTCCCTGCCAACTTCGCGTACACTACCTTCTTTGCCTCCACTTTACCTTGGACTATGTCATTCCACCACCAGTCGCCTTGGTGCCTGCCAGAAAAACCCTTTGATATACCTAGCACCTCTCTCGCCGCCTCCTTCACATAGTTCGCCGTCGTTAACCACATAGTGCTCGCGTCTCCACTACTCCTCCAAGCTCCCATAACGGATAACCTCCCCTCCAACTCCTGGGCTTTATCCTTGGTTAAAGCTCCCCATCTAATCCTCGGTCGGCCACGAGCATACCTCTTCTTCCTCTTCATCATAATGCCGATGTCCATCACTAAAAGCCTATGCTGAGTCGCGAGGGTCTCTCCAGCAATAACCTTGCAATCCTTGCACAACCCTCTATCACACCTTCTGAGGAGAAGGTAATCAATCTGAGTCTTCACCACCGAACTTTGGAAAGTAACCAGATGCTCCTCCCTCTTCGGAAAAGTCAAGTTCACAATCATCAGCTCGAAAGCCTTAGCGAAGTCTAACAACGAAGTACCTCATCCGTTCCTATCCCCAAGGCCAAAGCCACCATGCACCTCGCCATAACTACCAGAAGCCAACCCAATATGGCCATTAAAATCCCCTCCAATAAATAACCTTTCAGTAGGTGGAATACTACGCACAATCTCGTCCATGCCCTCCCAAAAGCGCCTCTTAACCTCCTCATCCAAGCCCGCTTGCGGCGCGTAAGCGCTAACTACATTGAGGGTGCACTCACCAATCACCAACTTAATAAACATTAGCCTATCATTCACTCGCCTAACCTCAACCACAGACTCTCTAAGATCCCTATCCACCAAGATACCCACTCCATTCTTACCCCTCACGACTCCAGAGTACCACAACTTATACCCGTCCGCATTCCTCGCCTTCGACCCTGCCCACCTAGTCTCCTGGACACAAGCTATATTAACCTTTCTCTTCTGGAGAATCTTTGCCAACTCAATAGACTTACCCGTCAGCGTGCCTATGTTCCACGACCCGATCCTCAATCTACAAGCTCCCTCTTTCCCCTTACCCTCCTTTCCTCTCGTCCCAACCACTGACCCTCTCCCCACCCCCTTCTCACCCCCGGCACCCCTCGAGGACATGACCTTACTCTACCATCCCAGACCACAGCCACTATACCTATGGCAAACTCCGAAAAAACACTAACACAGACCCAAGCTAGAAAATAACCGGTTGCAACTACAAGTATTCTAATAATATGCTTAAAGTGATGCTAACTAAATAGCCACAATTTAACTAACATAAAGAAAGAGACAAGAAAGCGGGAGGTACCAACTCCTGATGGAAAGAACCTGAAAATATGACTTGATGCACCCGAGGTCACGGAAATCTGTCGTGCGTCCTTCCAACTCCCACCAACCTTTGCACATACTAGCCGGTGATGCTCTGCTCTACTCGCCTGTATGCCTCGCGCTTGCCTGGGCAGCCGCAACAATTCCCGCGAATAGAACCTGGGTGCTTTGGAACCCGACGTCCAGCCCTTGTGACTGCCCAATGGCCTACTTTGCTACGCTTGCCCGTGCACCTCCCACCCGTCACCAAACAACCACCAAAAGTGCTACCTGAAACACACACAACAAACCACGGGACCAAGAAAAAGAGAGGAGTGCGGGACTGTCACCGCTACGGATTCACCGGAAAACGAGTAACAGTGGTGCGACGAGGAAAGGTTTGAAGAAAGTGAAGCACCAAGGAGGAAGATAAATTTTATACATTCAGATGTTAAAAATCAAACAGTCTTAATTTTTGGTATTCAAATCTAAATACACATCTTAATATATTTAGATGTGTATTCAGATGTCTCAATCGTAATACACATCTTGATATTCAGATGTGTATTCAAATTCAGACGTCTTAATTAAAAAAAAAAAAGTGGTAATGGGTGAATTTGCGCTGTAATTCAAGTTCATGCGTCAAAAAGAAGAAAAAAAAAAAGCACATAAAAAAGGAGGGAGAAACATTTTCCCTGCCATTCCCACTCTAGTCAACCTGAAAGATACAAAAACAAAAAGAAAAGGAAAAAGAACTGGAAACAGGACAAATAAATAAATACTCCTATTTTTTAATAAATAAAAAAACTGATAGTTTCGCTTGCCTCGAAAGTGGTGAACAGCAATCCAACTGCCGTGGTCAGCCCTTAGCTTCCCTGCAACCATGTTTGGATTCACCAAATTATTGCCATAATAAAACTCCGATTCTTTAGGCTTCCAGCGGCAGCTGACGCCTAAATTATTTTTGGCATGGGTCTTCCTGAAGTGGTCGATGTTGCCCGCAATTATGCCGTCATGGTCAGAATTCAAGGCCCGGTGAGTCCCTTTTCTTAAGCCAAGATACTATAATTTTAAATCACTTGCTTATTTTACTAATTGGTTAATGAAAATAATAATAATTCTTCTTCCTCTTGAAGGACCCAAAAGGCCTAAAAATGCGAAAACATGCTTTCCACTTGTACAAGTAAGTGATTTTACATAGCTCTCTCTGTCTCTATATTATAGTTGTTTACTTTATGTGTTTTGAACTGAAAGTTTTAAAATTGGGTTGTAATTTTGTGGTGTAGTTCTGGGAAGACGACACTATCAGCATCTGGGATGCTTTTGCCCAGTTCCTTTGTTAATGCTTCAGTGTCTAAGCAGATTCAAGGTGAAAGCAAGTTGCACTCTTTTGGAGGTCACTTCTTGGTTTTAACTGTTGCTTCTGTTATTGAGCCTTTTGTTGTACAACAGGATAGAGGGGACATATCAAAGGTTGGATCTTTAGTCTTCTTTCAGTTGATATGATGGTTTCATTTTATATGATGGTGTTTGATTGGAAAAGGAGTTTAATAAAGAAAGAACCACTTTTGACACATATTTAATTACATGTGTAAGAAGTTATCTAGTTGTCTTTAACATGCCACGTCAATTCCTATAAGAGCATGCCGTTAAGTGCAAAATGAGAATTACAAGATTAAAGAAATTCTATGTATAGAAAGGTAGTTTATTGAATGAATGTAGTATAAAATGGAACAACATGAGTATTTCTTTGTCGTTATGTTTTTTCATAATTCCTTTACGATGTACCATCTTGCAGGATAAGCCGGAGCTGATTCCTGGTGCTCAAATTGATATACTGCGGGAGGTATTTATTTGAACCTACTGGAAAAAATATGTTTTTTTTAGGTTCATTGATATATTAAATTGACATTGGATGTCCTGCTCGTTGTTCACAGGGAGGAAATACATTGCAGAATGATATCAAAGTGACTAACAAAGAGGGTTTGAACTGGCTACCTGCAGAACTCCTAAGAGTGGTAGGCGTTTAGTAGGAGACCGAAAAGGATTTTGTAATCTGAATGCTGATTATCATAAAACCTGTAACTTTATCATATATGTTTTTTATTTGCAATATTGAATTGATAAGTGCTCTCATTTTGATGCATGCATATAAATTCTAGTTTGATGTCATCTGGTGTTTTGTGCCTGTGAACAAAAGATTTTTGACACATACCAAAGTACCTTTAGAAGTTGTGGTTTTAAACATTTCATAACACTTCTATGGCTATAAGAGCATGTCATTAATGTAAAATGGGAAGTTTAAAGTTTTAAGATAATCCAAATAGAGAAGGGTTCTATTCTTTTTGGAACATACTAAAAAGGAAAGTGTGCCGTATAAAATGGAGAAGGAGTACCTAGTTTTGAACCCCTTTATCCTAGTTTTTAGCATGGGTTAACTGATCGCTTTTATGGCTGGTGTTCTTCGTTGCTACTATTTTGTTACTGATGAAACGTAAAAGTTGCACTTGACACCGTCTATCTGGTGTTCGTGCTGAAGGTTGACATCCCTGTGTCATCTGCTGCTGTCCAGTCCCTAGTTGAAGGTTCGTCTAGTTCAATTGAACATGGGTGGGAGGTTGGTTGGTCCCTAGCTGCCTATGGAAATTCCCGTCAATCATTTACTAACACTAAGCGCACACAGGTATGATGTTTCCTCTGTTTGGCACTTACATGCAGTAAATGTGTACCCATAACAATCTCTGTACCTTTATGTATAAATGAGTGAATATGTAACCATAGTCTCTGTACCTTCATCTATATATGATTGGGACAACCTATTGATAGATGTGTCCGAGCCTCTCACTTGCTTTCTAAATACTTCTGACACTATCTAGCTGTGTTATTATTGAATAAGGTTATTGTTTAATTAATGCATAACATAGTCATAAATAGGATTAACATGACAAACTTCCATTCAAAGATAATTAAATTCGCTGAGACCAAGATAAGCCAAATTCTCTTGCATGCATATTTTGATTGGATGCTGTAGATCCTTGGTCATTTTTCATGAGCTAACTTCTGCTATGATCCCACTTTGTGGTTCAAATTTCAAAAGACTTCATCAAATAACTATAATTTTATCAGGCTAACATTTTAAAGTTCTATCAACTGACAGGCATATCATTTATCATTCTTAAATAACTAAATAAATCATGCACCTATTTCTTTTGAGCAGAAATGCCATTTTATTCCTGTCTTACGTCTAATCATGACCACTTTGCACTTTCAGGCGTCTGTTTTTTCTTTTCTCTTTTCTGGCATAAGAGCAGTATGGATTTGAACTAGTATGTGTTGCACACCACTTACTTCTTCGAGTTGTGGAACATGCAAGTTTCCTCCATATATTTAGCATTAATTGCATTATCAGTTGAGTTGTTTCCACGCAGAACCTTTTATATGTTCTATAACCTCTTTTCATAGGAGAATAAAGGAAATTCATGTAATGAGTTCCTTATTTCATGCTCCCTATGTTTACAATAGAGTGACATCACAATGTTTCATGTCTCTACTCATGCCAAAATAGTTGCGTCTTTATCATCATAGAATGTCTCACCACCTAATTCCAATTCAAAGATTAATGATTGGATATCACCTCCCCGTGTCTGAATACAAGGTAGTCTACCACCCCTAAAACTTGGAGGCATTTCTTAAAATAATTCATATTATGAACTCCAACTCAGTAAGCTACTCTGGTTACATATTTGTAATTGTATAAGCATTCGGCAGTGTTACTGGAAAGGATCACATTTGAGTCTCACGCTGTCAAGTGCAAAATGGCATGACATAAGGAACTCTTACCATGGTGTTCTTCGACGGTGGCATCTCCAGTTGTTCCTAGTACTATGTTCAAGATGACCCAAATAATTTTTGCACAAAGCATTCTAGTCTTCATAGCCAAAGTTCTATGAGATGCTAGTCTCAACGGACCACGGAGATTGATTTTGTAGATTGACTATTTCTTAACAGGAACTGTCAACTGATAATTTCAGGTTGAGCAAATTTCTTTCCCAAGTCAAACTCCAATGATGGAGGCGCAGTCAAGCCTGCCAAGTGTGATAGGAACATCAACTACAAGAATTGCTCTTCTCAGAGTTTCTTCAAATCCATATGAGGTTTCAGGCTTTTACTGCACTAAGTGGCATCAAACTTGTGAAATGAAGCATGACATTGCATTTTGCTGAATGGGCTTGCTTTTTTGCTGGTAGTTTTTGAAAGCTCCATTTAGTAGGTTTTTGATGATAATGACTGCACAGGTATTTCCTTTCAGGACCTGCCTAAATTAAAAATGTCTACCTGGAGTAGGAGAGGTGATCTTCTTCTGGGTATGGGTTCTCCTTTCGGCATCTTGTCTCCCAGTCACTTTTTCAACAGGTAGTTGCTTTGGTATTGTTTCTATCATATACTGGAATTACAACTTTCTTGTAATCTTTCCATCCTTGCTTGTCAGCATCAAAATGTATGATGACTGAACATTTGTGCTGTGTTAATAGGCTATCTGAATATGAAAGCACTGGTGTAATTCTTGTTGCTAGTGCTAAAGATGATTTAGCTCATCTTTCCTTGAGTAAGCTGTATAAGCTGTATCTGGTGTATGCAGATGTTGTTTGATGATTATTTGTCTGCCAAGTTGTGATCATACTTAGGATTAGTATTCGCTTTGATTCTTGTTACATCTCCTTGTGAAAGCTCAATTTTGTCTTTTGTTCCTATACAGCATATCAGTTGGGTCCATTGCAAACAGCTATCCACCTAGTCCAAAGAATAAAGCACTGTTGATTGCTGACATCCGTTGTCTCCCTGGTTTGAGCTTTTGCCTTGCAACTTTGGTTAATTAATCCTTTCCATCTTTTGGGTACCTGATAACGTATGGTGCCTTATGTTTCAGGAATGGAGGGTAGCCCAGTGTTAGGGGAACATGCAGAGCTTATTGGTGTTCTGTCTCGGCCACTCAGACAAAGGGCTACTGCTGCTGAAATTCAGGTAAACATTTCATAATGTGCTCTATGTTCTTGCTGAGCTCTACCTTCACATATATTGCTTTAATTTGAAATTGAAGCATTTGGTGGCAGATGGTGATTCCATGGGAAGCTATTACATCTGCTTGTGGTAGCCTGCTTAAAGAAGAGCTACAAACTAGGAGAAAGATCCATTTTGATAATGGAAACCTAATCAGTGTTAAAAAAGAATCACCCTCCAATAATATTCGGGATGGACCTGCCAATGATACTCTAGAGCATCTCCTAATAGGTCATGTTCCCCCGTCCTTGATTGAGAAGGCAATGACATCTATCTGTCTTATCACTGTTGATGATGGAGCATGGGCTTCTGGAGTTTTGCTCAACAAGCAGGGTCTTCTTCTTACAAATGCTCATCTTCTAGAGCCATGGAGATTTGGAAAAACATCTGTAAATGGTTCAGGATATAACACCAAATCTGATGTAGTTCTCATCCCTTCTGATCAATCTGAACATCCAGGGGCTGAGAAATTTGACATTCAGCGTATGAATAAACATTTGATTCAAAAGGAACTAAGAACTCCGCATTTCTTGGTTGACAATGAGCAGGGTAGCTTTAGAGTTAACCTGGCAAACACAGGCAGTAGGACCATTCGTGTTCGCTTGGATTTTATGGATCCCTGGGTATGGACAAATGCAAAGGTGGTTCATGTCTCCAGAGGACCTCTGGATGTTGCATTACTACAACTTGAGCTAGTTCCAGATCAGCTCTGTCCCATTACTGCTGACTTCATCTGCCCATCCCCTGGATCAAAAGCATACATTCTAGGACATGGGCTATTTGGACCACGATGTGGTAAATCTTGCTTTAGATATGTTCTTGTCTAAATAAAATTTGTGCCTTTACTTTTATTTTGACACACGCATCACAGTGAATCTGAAATTTTAGAATATTCTACAAAAACTTTGTTTATCTTGAATTTCTCTCTCTTCCACCTTGCTTCTCTTGTGTTAAGAATTTGTTGAAGTATCATATAATCAATTGCAGGATTGGGTCGTATTATATCATTTTCATGTCCTTGTTACTGCTGGAATACTTGATGTTTCTTCCTTCACCAAATGATGATCATTTGATGACTGATTGAGTAGTTATGAGGTGATGTCCGCAAGGGAACTTGAGGGGTCTTCCAATGGAGAAATAGTAACCAGATTGGTCGGGAGGGCTCAAAACTGGGTAATCTTTTAGGTGAAGACATTGTTTAGTGATACTGAATTTGATTTGTAGTCCAGGTTAGTGTTTTGATCTTCCGGTTAAAAAAAATTGCACATGTCAGATTAAGAATAGCGGTTGTTGTAGGTCTCAAACACGGCTAGTAGAACAAGGAGAAAGGTAGACGAAATAAAAAAAAAAGCGTTTTCCTTTCGTGGGCTAATAAAACCATAGGCACTAATCCAGATCTTCATCCATAAGAATGATCATATACCTAATACCTATGCTAACAAAGCGGAATTGGGGAATCAAATCTAGAGTTTTGAAGTCACTTATCACGAAAAAGGGTAAATTTCTGGAGAATTAAATTGATGTTTTCTATGGTGAAAGCAAGTACAAGTGGATCAGCTTTAAAGAATGGGGTTTTTGAATAGGAAATTCCTGGTAACTCACTTAATCGAGTCGGGCTGTATCTCAAGGATATTTTAATAGTAGCTAGGTTGTTGGAAGTGCTACTATTGTCTATTGATGCAATCTTAACTTGTCTGTTCCATCTTTTTTCGTTGATAAAGTTAACTTGTCTGTTCCATAACCTCTGCTGAACATAATTTTCTGGAACTGACTATCTTTGTGCGCCCAATAGTACTAAATCATGTTGTTCTGGAGGTTAAATTGCTTTTCATGTAAATAATTTTGTTAAGTTCTTTCATTTTGAACATGATATAATACCGTATATTTATTTCATATGTTTCATACCTATATTAGACTTCTTTAGTTGTGTTTGTAATTTGTCTTACTTTTTCTTATAATATAGACTTCCTTCCATCTGCTTGTGTGGGTGCAATAGCTAAGGTAGTTGAAGCAAAGCGGCCTCTGCTCAACCAATCAAGTTTAGGAGGACATTTTCCGGCAATGCTTGAAACAACGGCTGCTGTACACCCTGGTGGTAGTGGTGGAGCTGTTGTTAATTCAGAAGGACACATGATTGCCCTTGTGACAAGGTAATTAACTTTTGGATGACAACTGGGGATGCTTATAATTGAGGATATTTCTTTTTCAGCTTATGTATGTTTACGTGTGTGTTCTTGAAGTTCAATCTAATGATATTGTGGTACACTGCGTCCTGGAGTACTTTGAGAAGTCCTTGAAGAAAGATATTCCTGTTTGAATGTATATTAATTGTCCTTACCAAAAATGTATTAGTTATACGCTTTGCATACAGGAAAAATAATGGTGTCCAATTTGAATGATCTCATACGGAAGATCTTTTAGTCATCTCATTTATGTTAATCTTCACATATCATGGTCTTTCTACAGTTTTTCCATCGATTAATGTCTTTCTTGTTGAAACTTCATGTCTTGTAGTTTTATTTTTGATGCAGTAATGCTAGACATGGTGGAGGGACGGTCATTCCACATTTGAACTTCAGCATTCCATGTGCAGCTTTAGAGCCCATCTTCAAGTTTGCTGAAGGTACTTTATTCGACTGTTCCTGATACTTCCATTTTCAGATAATGGGTGTCTTTTCCCAGTATGAAGAATAAAAGCAGTGATCTTTGGTCTGTAAGCTCTTAATAAGTTTTGTAACTCTCAAGAAATCTGTTTCGAATAACACTTGGTCGGCACGATACCAACGCCTGATGTTTCTGTTCTGTTTTTCCTGACAGACATGGAGGATCTATCACCGTTAGAATATCTTGACAAACCAGATGAACAGCTTTCTTCTGTGTGGGCATTAACTCCGCCTTTATCTTCCAAGCAAACTCCCTCTATGCTTCATCTGCCAATGCTTCCTCGAGGAGATACTGACAGTGATACAAAGGGTTCTAAATTTGCAAAGTTTATAGCTGACAGTGAGGCGATGCTGAAGAGTGCAACTCAACTTGGCAAGGTTGAACGTCTTTCAAATAAACTCCTGCACAGTAAGTTATGATAGCGTACCCATTGGTCTCACAAGCAAGTCAGATAGCAATAAGGCGCTACAACACTGATGCTTCAAACGCCCATGACTACGAAAGGATCACCAAGGACTGGAGCCATGTATCATAGAAGCATCATCCGAAGCTGGGATTGTATACCAAGATTCTTCGTTGTCATAAATGTTAGTTGCCTGAATGTGCAACCAGGGGTGAAGACGAACTTGTGATGAATAAGTGAAATAGATTATAGCCATACTTGTACAATAAATGTCAACTGTACGCATTTGATCTTGAGGATTTATTCTTTTATGTATAAATTTTTGGTGGAGGGGTGTATTTGCATTTGGTTTATGAGATAGTTTGTAGCTGCGCTGTCACGACCCAATTCCCAAACCCGGTCGTGATGGCGCCTCTCGTGAAGACAAGACCAGCCAGACCAATACAGAACACCTCTTTTAAGCAGTAAGTCACCATTTAAGCAATTATGAAGCATGATTTAATAACAATAATTTGCGAAAACATAGATAATAATAGTAGAACCATCCCGACACAGCCCGAACCGGGGTGTCACAAGTCACGAGCATCTATTAGAGTGAAGTTACAACTACAAGCCGGAAATATACAAAATAGGATTTATAAATAAAAGGAAGAAATGCGGTGCCGCGAACGCTGGCGGTCACCTCGCTCAACTTCGATAGCATAATCTCTAATCAGCTCAAAACCCGCTACCGGGTGAACAAATACCTGCATCTGCACGCGAGGTGCAGGGAGTAAAGTGACTCCAACTCAGTGAGTAATAAAGGTAAATAACAACTGAGTAAAGTGACTCCAACTCAGTGAGTAATAAAGGTAAATAACAACTGAGCAGTAAGAAATCACGTAAAGCAAACCATCATGCTGTATAGGAGCAGGGTACAATCCTTTGAGAAAACAGTGAAACTGTGAAATCTTTGTAAATATCTTGGCTTAGTTTAAATCTCTTTTGAAAATGACCTTTTCAACAGTTACGAAATGATTTCAAAACAGTTAGTGCAGATAAGCACAGGAAATCCGCCCCTCGGGCACAAATACCACAGTATAACAGGTAAAAAGGCAAATAAATATGCAAGATGAACACATAAAAGTTTGCCCCTTGGGCAATATCTCAAAACAGTACCAGCCCCTCGGGCTCACTCTCAGAAACACTCTCAGCCCCTCGGGCTCTCTCTCTCTCAGATCACTCTCAGAATAGTATCATATAGTAACCGCTGCGGCGTGCAGCCCGATCCACATCTCGCTGCGGCGTGCAGCCCGATCCATATATCGTCGATGGCGCTCATTGGGGGTGTGCAGACTCCGGGAGGGGCCCCTTACGGCCCAAGTGCAATATCAAGCCACCTCGTGGCATATAACATAAGGCCTGAAAGCCTTCTCACATCACACTCGAGGCCTGAAAGCCTCCTCACATCACACTCGAGGCCTGAAAGCCTCCTCACATCACACTGGAGGCCTGAAAGCCTCCTCACATAACACTCGAGGCCTGAAAGGCTCCTCACATATGACCCTCGGCCTTACTCAGTCTAGAAAATATCATAAGCCCCTCAGGCATCAATAAAATAGAAGTGCTCAGCCCAAACAACAATGAAAATATCATTTAAGTCTCAAAGTTCAATTAAAGCGGCTGAGTTTGTAAAACAGTATAATCAACAGGACTGAGTTCAAGTAGTATATCAAAATAGTGAGGAAACAATGATAAAAATCCCCGAAGGGTTCAGATAATTGGCACGAAGCCCAAATATGGCAATCAGCCCAAATCATGATAATAACAAATAAGTTTCAGTCAAAATATGCGGTAAAATCATCAATCGGGACGGACCAAGTCACAATCCCCAACGGTGCTCTACCCCACGCTCGCTATCCGGCGTGCAAGTCACCTCAATATAGCACTACGGTGTGCAATCCGGGGTTTCAAACCCTCAGGATATCATTTACAATCATTACTCACCTCGAACCGGTGAAATCCCTAGCTCGCGACGTCCTTGCCCCGCAAATCGGCCTCCACGCGCGTCGAATCTATCCAAAACCAGAACGAATACGTCACAATATGCTAATGGAACAATACCCAGTCGAAAACAATCGAAAAATATTAAAAATCTCGAAATTAGCAAAACCCGGCCCCCGGCCTACTTCTCAAATCTCAGAAATTTTCACATTAATAGATTCCTTATCTTCTCACGAGTTCATACATACCAAGAACTCTGAAATCCGAGCTCAAATGACCCATCAAATCCCAATTTGACATATCAAAAACTCAAGCCCTAGTTCTTCAATTTTAGGCTTAATTTCCATGAATTTTAAGGTTAATCTCACATAATAATTGTGTTTTATGATCATAGAACTCACCTCCAATCAATCCCAGTCGAAATCCCCTTCAATTCCCGTCCAAAAGCTCTCAAGGATGTTCAAAAATGGAGGAAAAATAGCTTAGCTCGCGGAACAAAATGAACTTTTAAAACCCTTCTGTCCAGACATTTTTCGCATCTGCGGTCCGCTTCTTGCTTTTGCGACTTCCGCTTCTGCGGAGCTTCACTAATTGCCCAGGACCGCTTCTGCGGTCTAAATCCGCTTCTGCGGACTCCGCTTCTGCGGGCCTCTATCCGCTCCTGCGGAAACCAGCCTCCCTAGCACCTCTCGCACCTGCGACCCCATTTTCGCATCTGCGGAACCGCATCTGCGGCCCCTTTTCCGCAGATGCGGAAATACNATCGATCAAGCCTAAGTCTTTAAAACTCCGAAACTCGCATCGATCAAAAACCCACCAAACGACGTCCGATTGACCTGAAACTTTACACACACATCCCAAATCACTTAACGAAGCTACAACAACTCTCGGAATTCCATTCCGAACCTCGGGTCAAAATCTCACCTATCAACCGGAATTCGCCAAAATACTAACTTCGCCAATTCAAGCCTAATTTTACACCGGACCTCCAAAATCACTTCCGATCACACTCCTAAGTCATAAATCACCCAACGAAGCTAACCGAATCATAAAAACTCAGATCCGAGCTCATATACAAATAAGTCAACTCTTGGTCAAACCTTTCAAATTCCAAGCTTTAAACTGAGACTGTTCTTTCAAATTCATTCCGATTTTTCCTGAAAAACCAAAACCAACGGTCTACATCAGTCATAATACATAACACGGGGCAAGTCATGCCCGAGAACTGGCGATCAAAGTGCAAAAGCTCAAAACGACCGGTCGGGTCGTTACATGCGCTCGGCTGTAAGGAGTGTTTTGACATTGTTTACCTCAAGCGAGAAGTTATGAGTATTTTCCGATCACAACTTAACTAGTGGAAACATTATTTATTGCATTTGAGACATAGAGATTCTATATTTCTATTAGTTAGAAAGATTGAACATTTCATATAGTTTTTACTGGAAAATGTCTAATATCAAATGCGAAAATGTTCTTTTGACTCCTTCATCAATTCGGGCTAATAGCCTATTTGGCCAAGCTTCTTCAATCCTTGAAGCATTTTTTTTCTTCAAGAAACGTGTTTTTTTTTCAAAGTTGAAGTGTTTGGCCAAGCTTTTGGAAGAAAAAAATGTGCTTTTGAGGAGAAGCAAAAAAAAATTTTGGAGAAACAAAAAAGGTATGCTTCTCTCCAAAAGCAATTTTTTGAAAAGCACTTTTGAGAAAAATACACATAGTTTTTAAAATCTTAGCCAAACATTAATTGCTGCTCAGAAGTGCTTCTCAAATTAATTAGCCAAAACAATCTGCTTCTCACCAAAAGTACTTTTAAGAAAAACACTTCTCAAAATAAAGCTGATTTTTGCAGTTTGACCAAACGGGCTATATTGATTTTTGCAGCTTGGCCAAACAGGCTATAAAACTCTCAAAAAAGTAAATATTAGAAAGGAAATTTTACACCCTATAGAAAAGCTTAGTACCCAATTTATTTTAAATAAATATCATTTTAAAAAATTATATTATATAGCTACCTTTTACCCTTTATAGCAAAATATCTAATTATAGTTATATCCTACACTTAAGGCACCATATACACTAATTTAATATTTTTCTCTATCCTTTTCCAGATTTTCTCTCACATAATCACGGTAAATTTCACAAACCACGTTCTCTCTCTCTTTTTGCATACACTTTACTCTCTTCTCCCACAAAACCACGATTGTTGCCTCTGTTCGTTGCCCTAGTGGTTATAGCAGAGATTTCTTTTCTGGTTCGACTCGACGTAGTCATACCTCAATCATGGCTGCAACGGATATACGAATGGATTGAATGCAAAGAGTACGCGAAGGAACGGTGATTCCCATGCTCAAATTTGTTTCGCTATTCAAAATCAACGGCCTTTTCTTCTAAACCCTACTCTTGAACAAAAGAAGGTAAAATTATGGAAATTTTACAAAAGCTACGATGGTACTGATGTGTCAAAAGCAATGTACAGGATGCGTGAGAACAGTGAGATTCAGGATTTTTGCTCGACGGCGGATTCGTCGGAAATTAGGGTTTGTTCTTGAACTAAGTAGTGGGTTCTTGAACAAAGACAATGTATTTTCAACGTATCACGCTGTATTTTCATGTATTTCATTGTATTCATTGTCTTTTTTTCATTTTAATTCAATGTATTTTATTATATTCCATGTATTTCATTGTATTCACTGTCTTTTTTCCATTGTATTTCAATGTATCTCGTTGTATTCTATGTATTTCATTGTATTCACTGTCTCGCTATATGCCATGAATGTATTCATATGTTTTTTTTAATTAACATAATTTATGTATTCAGATGTATTATATAATTTCTGTGATGATTGCTATGTTTTTGGTGTATTTTTCGGTTGAGAAACTTTTTATAACTGAAAATACAAAATTTGTGTGTTATAATTGAGTTTGTTGAGTTATATTAGGAGTTTCAATTTTCGTTTTAAAAACAGTGTAATCCCCTATTTCACGCCGTGAATACAATAATCTGTCCAGCTGTAATCTCACGTTTCACTCCATGAATACAGTCAAATACACTCGAATACAACAACTGATTAGCTGGACTTCCCTGATTCACGCCTATTTTTGCTACTGTATTCATGAATACAATAGCTTAAATACATCAAATACATCTTATAACCAGAAAAAAGGTATCTATAATCCGTAATATAGTAAATGGTAGTAAAAATAGCACGGTATAGCCAGTTTTCGGACTGGTCAATCAAAAATAGCCAGCGTTTACCAAGTCAATGAAAAATAGCCACCGTTTTGCTGCAATAGAGACCGGTCCAGCATAATATACTGGAGTTCAGTGCACTTGTGTATGAACTCCAGCATATTATGCTGGACTGGTATACTT